AGCTTTTTGAAGAACTCACACTGGTAACGTATTGATTGCTTCCACTCGAACCCTCCGGACAAGCGACATCTCTCAAGGACGTCGCTTCGCCGCAAGGTTTCTCTCTAAACGGGGGAAACCAACTCAACGAAGCTAACGCTTTTATTGAAACATCTAGAGTCAATGTTTCCGAATACTTCTATTCGATTTTGAGGTGGTATCACTATAACAGTTATGTTCACATGCCCACTCAGGCTATAATAATATAGACTCGTTACATATATACGCGCCAGATTACAGCCGGCATTTCAGACCTGTTCTTGTCTTACCGAGATGCCGAGCCACTGAAGCGGGGCATTAACGAGCATGCTCGAAGGCATATGCTGAGGAGAAGGACACGGTTGAGTGAAAAAAGCTCAAGAACCTGTCGTCTTGTAGTAATAATGAAGTGAAGTGAACGGAATGGAGGGAAGCAGAAGCTGAAAGTTGATTAAGGCAGCGCCCCTGCACATCTGCCGCAAAGCGTCTATTGGACTGTACCAGAAGGTGGAGGATGAATGCCGTTGAGATCGAGCGCGGATTCCTACGAAAAACTAAAAGAGTAAGCGTGTGAAAAAAGAAAAACGAAAAAATACATAATACGTTACGTTACAGCCGTCAATTTGTATGTTTAGTATGCTATATCATTGTTGTAGAGGCACGAGTTTCGACCTTCGATGCTTTTAAGAAGGAAATATAAGCGGAACACTGATTTCCGCGATGACATTTTGGCGCATTCGTTGTGGAGCGTATTAAACTTCGTTTAATCAAAATTAAAAGTCCCCAGTGTGCACCGTCGTGCTCTGAGCTTTGCGATATCATCTTCGAGCGCCTGTGGCCAGATAGACGCTCGAAGATGGCATCTCTGAAGCTTTCTTTATGTCACGGTTCAACGTTAAGTGCCTCGACGAGCTGTCAAGCTTTGAAAATTCTTCCCTCATTTTTGGTGTGACGTTCTAATATTAGTACCGATCAAGATACAGTTGCTTTTTTAAGACTTTTGTTTTATAAAAAAAAGCAAACATCCACGCTTCGGTTGTAGCCTCGTGGGACTATCACGTATATACAGTCGCTGCACTCAGCACACTGATAGCTACTAGACGTTCCTTCATTCAGTTCAAACAACGAAAGCTAGGGCAGTTGGTGTCAGGCCCTGATGCCCATGAGGGCTCAATAGCAAGGTAGGTGGGCCAATACCACCTACAAAACAAAGCTGGCGCACCACGCCCCCCCCCCCCCCCCCCACACACACACACAAACGTCATCACTATAGTGGATCTAGGCAGCACCGCCTAGAGCGCGCCAGCATCGCCTTTAGAACGTCTCGCAGCGTCTTACAAAGAGCGCGACACTAATACCACCCGGAAGACAAGGCCTGCTAAAGACGTCACGGTTAGTGGAACCCCGACCCGCCCCAAACGGCAAAGAGACACTGGCACACTGACGCAACCTATCAAATAGTCTTTACCGCACATAACAGTATACTTCGTTTCACTTAAAGCCCAGACGCAGCCGATGGTATATACGAGCTGATGGGACCAATCTGACAGCGCCAAAAGCGCACCGCGTATTGGTCTGTGTAATGTTTCCGTGCGTGTTCTACAGCGTGGTCGAAATGGATTGAACGCACTTTAAACTGACCGCTGAAATCGGTTTCTTAACTTACCGCGCCGGGATTTACTACAGAGGTGCTCGAAGCTGGTGCATTCGTTAATTAAGAGTTAGTATTAATACATTAGGTCTTTGGATAAAAAAAGAAAAGAAAATAACAGCTGGTCTTGTCTATCGCAAAGTTATCGCGAAACCTTTTATCTCTAAATCATCAAAAAATAGTTGTCGGCTATTCTGGCTTTTATAACGATTAAAAATCTTGTGAAATGGAAATAAAAAAGAATTCGCTTACATATTCTTTACCTCACTTGGCCCAAAAAGCGCCACATTAACACATTTTTTTAGTGTACATGCAAAGTATAGGGAAGCATAGATTTTTAAATTCTTTTTTGGTTTTCTTAGGTGAGCCAATCTTTCCACGATTTTAGCGAAAGCTTCCACTAACTTCAGGCACCTTTGCAGTACATTCCAGCGCGATAAGTTCAGAAATCGATTTACGCGGTCAGTTTAAAGTAGGTTCAATCTATTTCGCCCACGCTCAATATCGTCGCTGAATTAGTCATAAACATAAAAGGCCTATCGACTCCGCTTTTGACGCTGCTCGATTGGCTTCATTAGGGAGTTTTCGTAGATCGCTCTCGTCGTCCCGCAACGCTCTCCGCAACCCGCTAGGATACCCGGAACTCTACAGCCAAGGCCATCGGCGCGCAGGCGCAGTAGCGGCTTTTTCGTTACGGAGGGCTTAGCGGAGGGGAGAGTGGGGTCTACGAAAACTTGCTATTACCTCGTAGAGTCGGCTGCGTCTCGACTCAAGCTAAAACAAATAGATTGAAGGCTTTGTTCAGTATTTGCGAGATCATATCTACGCAACTAGATATCTATGAGAGTTGGTCGTTATAGGGGGTATTCACTGGACGCCACATATGAGGGCGATGTTAAGAGCGCATGCTCAGAATGAGCTCACATTAATAGCTTAGTAAGACCACAGTTAATCTTGATGGTGTGGAATGCACGCTGCAAAAGAACTCTGGAAGCTTGCCATCAGCATACGCACAGTAGTCGCGCACACAGCTATGGCCGCTTTGAATACTCCCTATAACGTGGTCAGCATTATTTAAAGAACATGAAAGAACTGATGCGTAAAACATAGGCAGCCCGGAAGTGCTTCGGGGCTACCATTGTAATGTAAAAAAACAAACAAGTTAACTAATAACGATCTTTTTCTTCAAGCGCAAATATTTGAACCAGCCTTAACGGCGTACTTCTGGTCTATCTCCGTGGTTTTCCCACTCCAGGCGCACGCGTCGGAGAGTGATCCCGTGAACGTGAAGCAAGTGATGGACACGTGGACGAGGCAGTCAGGCTACCCCATCGTGCACGCGGTTCGAAACTACCTGGACGGAACGGCCTCTCTGTCCCAGCGCCATCACTGCATCAAACCAGACCCGTAACGTTGGGCGGGTCAAATCCTGGGACAACGTGTCTAAGCGTATTGTCTTTCGATTATTCTGCCCCCAAACACGTCCCCGACGGCTGTTTTTATACACTTTTCCGGCATTTACCACCGAGGCAAAGATGCCGAGTCACTGGGCTGTACACGGACACGGCGTGACGTCCGGTATTCAGAGGAGAAGAGCTTCTGCACTCGGTCAGAGGGCGTTTCATAGCCAGCCAGTAGACAAAGACAACAGCGTACAATGGCGATTATTGGCATAATCACCATATTTGTATCGGGAAAAAACAAAACAAAACAAAAAACACGCCACTTTACGAGGAAAAAGAAAGAAAGACGAGTGGAGCGGTAATTTGCAGCCTATCGGTCATTGGCATGAAAAAAGTGCACCATACCTCTTTGAGAACTATCAACTATATTCCGAGTCAAACTAATTGCTACCAATGCCAACCTAACGATTCGATAGAACTAACCATGCTGCGCTGAAAGTACGTCGTCATGGTCCCCGTCGTTTTTGTGCATTCTCTATCACCGGCTAAACGGATCACGCGCAAAGCGAGGAGCAGGACGCAGACCGGCGGACGAACTGGGAAATAAAGACATATACAAGGTTGGGCCTGCCAATACCGGCCGTGCATATGGGTGCTCGGAGTGGTACCAGAGTACGTTTCTTTGGTCCCATCAGCTTTAGCGTCGGCGACGTTTGGACTTAGGTGAAACGAACTACGATTTTGACCAGTGTGCTCCAAGAATTCACAATAAACGGGACATAAATACTCCGTCACGTTCACCCTTAAAGGGGAACATTTTCCCACGCGCTCGCGCCTTTTTATTTTTGGCGCTTTCCTCTGCCGCTCCACGCCTCCTCGCTTCTTTTGATTCGTGACGTCAAAAATCATGAAATTAAGAAGCTTTGTAGGCGACATTTTTATACAGTTTAATAACGGCGATCGTAAAATAGTTTTCAATGCAATTGCGAACGCACTGCGGCCCTTCTTTTTGAAATACCAAAAAAATCGGAATCCGGTGTGATGTCGTCTCCTAGATTTGTATCCTCCCTTGGAAAACATGCTGCCTGGGCAGGCGACACCACTCAAAACCGTCTTTTTTTTGGTCCACCGGCCTCCTCATCTGCTGCTCCTTTCCTCCTCGCTTTGGGTCGTGATGGCAACAGGACGGAGTCGTGAAAGGAAGTGTGTCAACGCACCGGCGCGGATCGCGCGGGAACTTCGAATTCGGCATTTGGAAATTGTTTTTTTCGTTTTCAATCGTTTTCAATCGTTTCGGATAAAAAAAATATTATTTTGATGTTTCAGTGCCCCTTTAAGCTGAGACTAGAAGCGCCGCCTTCAGCGCGAGCTTTCTTCCCTTGCTAACACAGGTGTGAACGCGCAGGCGCCCGCAACCAAAGCACTGCGGAAGCACCCGAGCTCGTGCTGAAGGCGGAGCTACCAGTCTCAGCTCAAAGGTGCACTAAAGACCTTTCTGAGATCGTCGATTCTTTGTGATAACTTACTTTACGTGCTCCAAGCATCCTAAAAATCCAAAAGTTAAGCTTGTGCGACGTCTATTTCCCTACTAAAAATGGGATCGAAGTTCGTGCCGCGCCCCGTTCAGAGCGGAGACTGTTCCGCCGGTCTGGAGCACAGAATTCAGCGGGGGCCCCGACGGCGTGAAGACGGGCGCGCGTCAGCCGATCGCAAGTCACTTATCTCGGAAAGGCGGCTTGCGATTGGCTGACGAAGTTTAATCACAATTTTAGTGGGGAAACAGACGTCGCACAAACATAATTTTTTGATATCTGGGATGTTATGATTCTGTAGGAATGAGTCATCACCAAGAACAGACGATCTCAGAAACCTCTTTAGTGCACCCTGAAGGGTCACGGAGTATAGTTTGTTTGCCCTGCTCCGTGATCGAAAGGCGTTCAAATAATTATGTTTCCAACTTCTGCTCTTAATAAAGCCGAGGGCGGAAAAAAAAAAAATGAAAGCCGTTTACAAATCCCTGTAACGCCGAATTGGAGCGCAGCTCTTGAGGACGAGGAGGGAAGGGTACTGGGGGCGTCACGTGACCCAAGGTCACGTGACCCCCCCCCCCCCCCCCCCCCGTTTACGCCGACGCCGACGCCGACGCCGCTCAGGCTGGAAACGGGCCCCTAAGAGCTAGAGCTGCGCTCTAAAATGATTCACCCATGCCCACCTAATTTTCGTCAGGCATGAAGAGACAGGCCTGTATCTTGTGGTTTCTTTTAAGTGCGTTTTACAGCGGCAGCTGTTAATAACCCTTCCTGGCAAAAAAATAAATAAATACATAAAAAAAAGCTCATGCTATAGAGTGGTGTCTTGCGTTCGCAAAACACCACTCTATAGCAGAAGCACCGCTATCCCCCTCCCTGTCGTTCCTCCTGCACGACAAGGCTCTCTCTCTCGCCCCCCTCCCCCCCCCCCCCCCCCACACACACACACACTTTTCTCCCTGTAGGCCGCTACTGTTCCCAAAAGAAGACGCTCTCCCTTCTCCCCCCTCCCTCTCTTTCTTCCGCAACCCTTCCCGCAGCCGCTGTTACGAAATACGCACGTGGTCACGCTGTGCAGACATGCTCCGTCGCCTCCCCAATGCCGCAGCCGAAAGTACGTACGCGAGCTGTTCTATAAGGCGCTCCGCGCCTCTGCAGAACAGCTCGCGTGCATACTCGCGAACTATACGCGTACATACTTGCGTACATACTTTCGCTACTTCCACCACAGGCACGGTCACGGACGCTCCCGTTCTGAAAGAGCATGTCAGGAAAAACAAAACACGTCTCTGTGTCCTTCCCCAAAACGTGCAACTTCTCGAACAATCTTTCCACCAAAGCGCACATCTCCTCACACACGTCCGCTACATCACCACCACAGAACGCAAAGAACCCACTGCAAACACTGTAAAGCACACGAACCGAAGGCAATTCTCCTTCAGCATGCCTTTCCACAATCCTTATGTTGTACCGCAGCGAAGGCTAGAAGCGCGAGCTCGTAGCTTTGGCAGCTGCCCTTGGTGCACGAGAGCGTGTGCCGCCGAGATGTGCCCTAGAGCAAGGAGCTCGCGCTCGTAGCCTTTTCTGCGGTACAACACAAGGTGAAACAGAGTATACCGCTGTCAATCGCAGCGAACACCTTGTGTGGTCGTTTGCAATCTCTTTTCTTTTTTAAGTTGCGTGTCACGACATAATTTCTTTGAGTATAAAAAACAAACAATTGTATTTACATTCCTTCAGGGCGCCCATATAATTAATAACTAGGAACTTAAACACGGATCTAGGGAAGAAAGAGGTTCAATAGGGAGTTTGGTTCAAAAACGCGGTCTGCTAAGGAACAATCAGAACGAAATTTCGCTCGTTCATTGTGCCTGCAAAATGCGCAGATTGAGTTTTAAAAGTCGAAAAGCTTTCTGTACTTGGCCAGTCGCTGGACAGGGTTCACAGTTGGCCCGCCGAGTACTCGATGAAAAAGTAGGTGCGCGAGTGTTTTTTTGACCAGCGCTCCCTCCCTAATGCTCCATTGCAGGGAGAGGCTCTGGCACATCCCCATCACGTACACGGACAGCGTGGCTCGCGATTTCAGCAAAACTCATCCCGTCATGTGGATGAAAGCAAAAGAAGGTGCGCAACGCGCGCTGCGCCCTTGCTGGATTACTCGTTAAAGCGCGTGACCTCAGAACTTTGTCAACCACCGCGTCTTTGAATTCATAGTAACAACAAAAACACTGCATTTTCGAGCCGGCGCAACGCTACGACGTCTGTATTGACGTTCTCGTATATGCATTTCTTAAATATTTAATATTTATAGGAACGAGACCAAACCAAACTTTGAATCGAGTCAGATGTTCGCGGGAACAACATACAACTGCCGCTTTCGTTCCCGAAGGTTTCAATTCTTCATCTTTCGTTTCCAGGAATTTTGAACCACCTTCCGGACAAGACGCAGTGGATTATTTTGAATCTCCAGTACGCCGGATATTACAGGGTCAACTACGATCCAGTCAACTGGGAGCTCTTGCGGCAACAGCTGTTTGCCAATTTAAGCGTGAGTTCAGTGTCCTCGTCACGCCTTAATCACGGGAATTCGCTGGATGACATTACTTGTTTATCGCATTAATTATAACCCTGGACATCGATGTAAGTAACCAAGTAGAATTGTACCTCAAAACATTTGCAGAGGCTCCCGCACCTGTGCTGCACCTCGGTGCACGCAAAACAACACTTGTTGTTCTTTCTTTAATTAGTTCAGCAAATAAAAAGAAAGACCGGTTGCATGCCCCGACGACCCCTAGTCTTGATGACAAGAAGCAGTTGTCCACTCCTCTGGCTTTTGGAATGCACAATGTTAAAGTATAATGCCAATCATGCTTTTCATTGGCTAAAATAATTAAATGTAAAATTTAAAAAGAATAAAAAAATTGATGTTTTAAACGGATTGGAGAGCACTATACATGATGCCGAGGGTGTAGGTAGAATAGTAACTTCAGTGGAATTTTTTAATGTCACTCGCTGAAGTCGCTGTTCTACACATCATCTGCATGTTACTGGCAAAAAAAGAAAATACAAATAAGTAACGCGAGATTTTACTATCTCAAATTGGAAATGCATAGATTGCAGTTCACCGAGACTCACACGAAACGCAGTACACTTTAGTCCAATGTCGACTAAACTCCTCTCGTTAGTACAACAGGTGTAATGAATAAACGTGGGTCTGACTTGTTTCTCGAAGTTACCGCACGTTTAGGTATACAAAGAACGAACTAATCCACATATCCTCAGTAAGCATTGCTAGTTGGTTGAGGTTTTCCTGATTATTATAGCCTGACATGCCGCCCTCTTCCGTCAGGTCGTTCGGGTAGGAACTGAAGAAAAAGAGGAGACCAGAACGTACAGGGACGTCAGAACACCGAGCTCTAACAGCAATAATTAGCGGGTAGACAAAAAAAAAAAAAAAAAAAAAAAGCTAGGTGCTTTTGTTTTTAGCCAAAGTTCGAACGCGAATGCCGGACGCCGGCGTTCGGCGTTTGAACACGTTCCAAGATTGAGTACAAAGTCAAAAACAGCAAACTTCGCCTCCACCGACTAACCGTCCCAGTCAGAGCTCGGTGTTCTGACGTTCCCGCCCGCTCTCGACCCCTCCCCTCCCTCGGTTTCCACCCGCATACACCGATCCACGGCTCTGACTTTACGCCGCTGCGGTGGCGCTGCTGTCAGCACGACGCATGCGCAGACGCTTCGCTTCACGCGGATCCGGTCTGTGCGCATGTGCAGTGACAACGCCTGGTGCGGGTAAACGCGGGTTCGGTTGTAAACAGCTTCTTGATCCATATACTATAGAAGTTTGCAAGCTGCCGCGCTTTGAAAGCTAGTCTGGCCACCGCGGATAGAAATCGCTTTGTTTGGGCGCCAGTCTGGTAACCGTGGGTACGCCTCGGCATTGCTCCCCGGCAGCAAGATGGCGGCGCCCAAAGGCAGTACTTGCAAACGTCTATACTGTAAAATTGGAAAATTGGAAAAAAAGATAGGTATTAAAATGAAATTGACTAAACAAATGACCAAGCTACGCCACACTTGCTCGTTTCCGCAGTGAAAATGTAAATAATATATATATATATATATATATACAGTAAAACCCCGTTATAAAAAAAGTTGAAGGAGCGGTCGTAATTATTTCATTACAACCATTAGTTTGTTATATCCTATTTTGTTATAACGAGGTTTTACTGTATATATGTATATATATATATATTACAATTAGGTTTTTTTTTTGTCAGAACTTTGTTTTCGAGTATATTGAATTGGATTTTGAGTAGCTCATCCATATATTGTACGTTCTCGAAAGAGCGTCTTTTTTGTTTAATACTTCTACTCGAGAAAGTGCCCTCACACCCATAGTCGTTTGGCATATTTAAAGCTTATCGACGTTCATCCGTCGTTGTGACTTCCAATTTGAGTTTTATCGCCCTTGGTACCGCGTGTGTATGAGGACCTGGGATGAAAAGGCACGAGACGTTTAGGCGCCTACACTACGCTGCCTGGAAGGCGTCTCTGACCGGTCTGTTTACAGTCCTATCACACCCACATATTAAAAGGGGTCACGAAGTGGGAGCGAATGACGTCACACAAGCCGGCGTGTCGTGTTGTCGGATGCCGCGATCCTGGCGGCTAATGCTAGAAGTCCCCGCAAAAAGCGTCAGCGATTGCGAGTGTCGCTGTGGTCGCAGAGTGCCCAGAGCCGTATAGGAGAGTCTCGACTCCTGGCTGCCGAAGCTTCCGTGTACTCTCAAGCTGGAGGGCGACCTGCCGCAGAATAGGCGTCTGCCACATGCACTAGCGCTACTCTGACACCGCCAGTATTGCGGCCGTCGACAGCTTCGCACTTCTATGACGTCATTAGGCGGAAACGGAGGGACCTGCAGTTTGTAAGACTTGGTAGAGACACCAGTCGGAGGCGCCGTCCAGGCACCATACCTACACAGCAAAAATATGCACGGAAAACGACACTGACCTAAAAGAAATATGTGCCATAATCTCCTAGCCTAGACTGATTGTGTATTCGCACGACGGAGACTCTTTCCACGTAGCGGAGCAAACTTCATCGCGCTTTATGGTGAAGTGCGCCACATCACGGTTGGTATACTCCGTTTCACGATAACTTGGCGACCGGTGTAGGGTGCGGCCTTCACGACCCAATAAGAGCGCCGGAGCAAGGCACGTGATAACGGTCCATTTGCGAGGCCAGGAGGACCTCTTTACCGCCTCAGCAACAGCGCCGTCCGTGACAAAAAGTAGTTCTGGGCTTCTTTTTCTTTTACCGGCAATAGAACTCGCGCGATTTTGTCTATAACGAAAAGATATGATTTATAAATTTCAATTATATTTAAACAAAAAAGTGACGCCACATTCATATCCGCTTTAGATATTGTTTTCTCCTTGTAGCGCTCTGGTCGTTGGCGATCGCCGGCGATCGCAGCCGTGGAATTGGCCACTTCCGCTCAAAACATCGCACTGTGCCATAGCATTAGCACCCGTCACAGATCGCCGGCTAAATTGAGCCTATGGTTGTCTCATAAACTGTTCCCTAAAGGCTCGCTATTCTAGCGGACGTAAATGTTGCTACGGTCGACGTTCATACGATGTTGATTGGTTCCGGAGCAGACGACTCTTGGCTAGCAAGCGACAGCCGGTTCCTCCGGGCTTAGCCAGAGCCACTAAATGAGCCACGCTATAGAGTATCGGCACTCTATTCCCGGTATTGTTGCGGGCGCTGCCATCTTGGTACCTAGTGCGGAGCAGACGCAACTGTCCTTCGTCATGATTCAAAATTGTGACTTCTTCAGCATTAGGCTCGGCGTTAGGAAGCTCATGTAAGTATTGCCTCGCTCTGTCACAAACTCTCTAAACATTTGTGGAGGACGGAACAGTGTTTTATTGTGATTTCAGATAAATCATCAGAAAACTAGCATCCATGATTTTAAGCCTCAAGATGGGTAAGTGCCGTTACTCCGAAACATAGATTACTTAATGGCTCTAGGCCTAGCATTTGGCGTAGTGACAGAAATGCTCCCGTGACGTCGAGTCACGTGATTCGCAGCGACGCTCTTATTGTGTCTCGGGGCCTCCACAGTTCGCCAAGTTATCTTGAAACGGAGTATAGCTGCAAGTGCGAGCTAGCCCACGCTCCTGGCTTTGAGACGGCTTTTCTAGCGCTACCGCTCGTTCTGTAGAACAACTTTTAAAGCTGCGATCTTGCGCTCTCGGGGTTGTAGCATTGACTGACTTCGAAGCACGATGACGTTTTCTCCTGGCTGTGGAAGAAATCTCCGTAGTGTGAATGCACCCTTATGAGATACGACTCGCGGTCACCACTTGCGAGCCGACTGACAAATGAACCAACCGGCTTATCTTACAGGTGATTCCCGTCCTTAATCGAGCCCAACTGGTTCAAGACGCCTCCGATCTGGCACTGTAGGTAGAGTCAAAAGACCGGCGTCCTTAGTTTCGCACTTTGTTACAAAGTTGAACGCACCCCATGGTGCATTTCCGAAGAGTTTGCTTTGTCAGAAAGTAGCAGGAACGTCTCTAAGCCATTGCTGCTACTCGAACCCCCTGTCATGTTTCACACCAATGATAAGTGTTTCGAACATTGACAGTTCGCAAGACTTTGATACCTATAAAAAATATTTCTTGGTGAATTAATATATTTGAAGAGAAAAATACTTTAGGCAGGGTTCGTTATACGAGGCTTTGAAATCAGGTCAGTTCAAAGCAATTGGAAGTATAATCTTAGCTCAATGGCCTTGGGACATACAGCATGTTCTCTTCTGCATCAAGTAGCGACATTTCATATCAGATATAGATGTAGCTCTAGAATTCCTTATAAACTTTCAGGCAGGCTCTCGCATTGGCCCAGCCAGGGGGAGGGACGTTACAGAGCTGTTGGAAGTCCCGAGTCATGGACATCTTGGCGACCCCACCCCTATAAAAATGATTTTTGACTTTTTATTGAAAACTTATTGAGTTCTTGTTGACTCTGATTACTTTCTTTTGACTTTGACTTTCTGTTAACCACGTCAACAGAAAGTTTGTTGACTTTGTGTTGAAGCTTTTCTGATGATTTTCGTCAGCCTGAGTCAAAAGAAAGGCTGTTGACTTTCTATTAACCTTATGTTGACTTTTTTTTGCTGACTTTCTGTTGGCATGGTCAACAGAAAGTTTGTTGAATTTCTGCTAAACTTTTCTGATGACTTTCTTCAGCCTGAGTAAAAAAAAAAGCTGTTGACTTTCTATTAACTTTATGTTGATTTTTTTCTGCTGACTTTCTGTTGACAGTGTCATCAGAATGACTGCAGACGTTCTGTTTACTTTGTGTTGAAAATTTTCAGTTGACTCTCAGTAGCCAATGCCAATAGAAAAACTACAGACTTTCTGTTAACTTTTTGTTGAACATAGTACATCCCGACTAGGTGCCAAAAGTCGCTATGTTTCTCAGTAGTCTCTGACAAGGTGAGAACGGGTAGCAACTTCAGTTGTTCCGCTTCCAGCGCGAGCCTACTAGCCTTGACAACGCTTCGGCGTTCATGCACCTCGAGCGCGCGCGTGCAGTCAAAGCACGACGGAAGGCATGGGATGCATCCTGGAGGCCAGGCATTCGAAAGGCATGCCCTGCCGTTATGACGTTATGACTATAGGGACTTTAATGACCACATTAAATAGTCAACTATTAAAGAAAATTGAAAAAAAACGATTCGAAAGGGGAAAACTGCCTTGAGTCGCTTCGTCCTGAGTCGTGCTATGTAGGAAAGCGATAATAATTCTTATAGGAGCCGTTTTGTGCATGTTGTTTTAGCGACTGCGCCGAATTATTATAAGTTGTACCAATGCGTTTTAGTAAGAGATATTGCCCACGAACTTCGAAACAGTGTTTTCCCTTTGACAGACTCTCGAGGAGAACATTAAAGACTTGGAACCTTAATAACTGCTAAGGTGGTCACCGGCCAAATGATTACCTTTAATATGTAGGCTATATAAGGCTCTGGAGCAGTCGATGGGAGTGTGATTCAGGTGTTCACTGCTACATTGTGTTTACGTTTGTGTTCGTTTCTAGTGTGTAGGTGTGGGATATATGTGGTTGTGCCTTCAAATTCCACACATTTACTAACATGTGCTGATTTAGTAACATACTAACAAAATATAAAAAAATCGCGTTTTTTTGTGACTACCTTGCGACTTTCGAGGCCCCAGCCTCGAAAGTCGCAAGGTAGTCACAAGAAAAGCTGTAGGCTCTGGCGACACAGAGACTGCAAATGGTCTGGTGCCAATGAATCGCCTTCGAGTCACAAGGTTGCCTTATGCTAGAGGTTTAGCTTTTGAGTGGAGTGTCAACAAAAAATTTGACACCTAGGCGCCAAGAAGTCTACTGCCTTTCTACTGAACTTTCGGCCAAACAGCTCCTGGAAGTCAAGTCAAAAGCTAAATACAATCTGCAGAAAGTATGATGGAAAGTTGCTGACATTTAATATCTGTGTTGACTTTTTTCAGCAGACTTTCCACATAAGCGAATTACACTTTTTTGTGAGGGCAGCCACTTTCTCCAAAAACTATTTCTAGCTCCACCATTCGACTTTTGACCCGCTGCAGTTCCCAAGCTTTTGGCCGTCGCGGACCCCTTGACCCCTTCAGGGGCCGTTTGGCCCCCGAAGGGGTCAAACGGAAGGGGTAGTCACAATAAAACGCAATTTTTTAATATTTTGTTAGTATGTTAATAAACCCAAATTGGTTCTGCATCTGAGGCCTTGTGCAATAACATAGGAGAGCGTTTTTTTTTGCATTTTTTTTTTAAGTTTTGCGTTGACCCCCATGAATTGTTAAATCTTCAGATTGTGCAAGTTGGTTGTCCATGCTGGTCGATGTTACAGCGCACTAAAAAAACTGTCGCTCAAACTTCCACAACAGACACACACAGAAAAAAAAGAAAACGCTGAGTGCGGCGGTCGAGCGCCCAGTTTAAAAATAAACTATGCCGAACATTTGCTTCGTGATGCTGAGCAGGTGTTGGAGCGAGCTTCCATAGCAATAATTTAACACCCTGAAACTGTGTGTAATTAGTTGGGAACAAAGCCTGTACAATCCAAAGTGTGAAACCCTGCCTTCGTCTTACGTCACTTTTTTTATCGTTGCCAGTAAAGGCTTTCACTTTAAAAGACACGGTGAGGTCCAAAATTGTAAAGCCAATAACTTCGCGAAAAAAAAATATTTTGGCCCAATATAGGGGTCTATATCAGCGATGTTTGTTTGTGCGTTTAGCAAATATTTGGGCAAATCGGGGACCACAAAGATATTTGTGGTCCCGGATTAAGATGTATAAGATATACAAAGGTGTTTGTGCGTTTAACAAATATTTAGGCAAATCGGGGACCCTTTAGGTGAGCATCCGGCTGCTACCGAGGACCAGGTCCGGCCACCTTGTTGCACTCACTCAAATAAAACATTTTTTTATGTTCCGACCATTTTGCTTTTGCCAACAGTAAACAAATATTTATTAATCTATTGACTATGCTATTGTATCTCCCTAAATATAACTAAATGAAATAGACACTAGAGTCGCCAAATGAGCTAAGCATCGGAGAGCAACCCCGCGTCAGCCATCTTGACGCTGAAAATCATTCTGCTCGCTGCCATCTTTGTCTGCTGGGCTGTGGAACGCCTTCTCAGTATGCGCTGTTTCTCTGCTGTGCGGTATATCAGACCCTGCGCATGCGTCCACAGCCCAATGACTCAGCATTTTTCACCCGGGTGACAAGCGCTGATGCGGCCCTCGTGTCCATTAAGTGCTCAGTGTACGTGCCCAAGATGGCCTGGACGTTTTTGAAAAGCGTCTGTTATGCCCGCTCTACACTAACCATCAAAATGGCGGTGCCATGCGAGAAAAATCCTGGAATGAAGGGACGATACTCTAGGTCAGAGTCGTTTATGTAGAAAGTTTGGCCATTCGTTAGGAAGTATAGGAGACAAATGAGGAGGCGCCAATGGCCAGAGCGTGTACCAGGGCGTCTTCACAAATTCGAATGTGGCCAACCAGAAGCCGGAAATAATACCCTGGATGTGGTCGCGAGAAACAAACTTGATAAGTGCGTCGGAGTAAGTCTCGGTGACTGAAAATATGGTGCACGTGATGTTTCAATCATGGTTATCCAAGATCATGGTGGAAGAGTGTGACTAGCGAAACGATCGACATAACAGTACGCCAAGAGCCGAGAGCCGCGAATTTGCCGTCCGAGTGGTCACAGTCTGTCCGAGCAAAACAGAGTTGAGAGGCGCATTCGTTTCCGATCTTTCTGCATAATCATGATCAAAACATCATGTGCACCCTATTTTCAACCGTAAAGGGTTATTACTCTTCGCTCTTACGCACTTAGGAGACCACGTACCAACATATGTGACGTGGTGGGCTAGTTGGTTTGAGGTAAACATCTTGGGAATAAACAGCGGCAAAGAAACCTGGACAAGAGTAAAGGAACAAACACGATCAGCGCCGTCCTGTCGTGTTTGTTCCTTTACTCCTTACCAAGCTTATTTTCCGCTCTTTATTATCGAGATGTTTACCAACCTATACCTTTAATTAAAGCAGTTTTTCGCTAACACCGCTTGGGGATTCTTTAAGGCTTCTGGTTGGCCAAGAGAGCATGTCAAGCCCATTTTCTGCGTCTAGTGCACGCCCTGGCTCTGCCTGAGCCTCCCATTGACCAAACTCTCTGCATACACGGTTCTGCTCTAGGTGTAGCTTATCTAGTGGCTCCTATACGGTGGACCCCTATTAGCTACCTCGCTCGTTCGCCCGCTTGGTGTGGACAATTTCTGTCGTTCGCAGGACGGGCGACTTGAGCTACCACACAACCATGGGCATCCTGGAATACATTGGCCACGAAGAGAGCTACTCTCCTCTCAAGTCGTTCATGAACAGCCTCGAGGAACTGGACGGGAAACTGCGTTCCACGGACTTCTACGGCAAGTGGCAGGTGGGTTTCCTTCGCCGGTGGCAGCGACGTCAGGGGGGCTATGTTCCAAATGCTTCGCTTCTCCTAAAAAAAAAAGAATTTGGAAGTGACGAAAGTGAGGATATCGTGTCTGATAGGCTAGAGGCTCAAATGACGAAAAAGGGAACTTTCGGCCACTTTCGTAAATTGTAAAATTTTAAAAAGGTTTTCTAATAGACGTACCGCTTCGTGTTGTTTTCTTCTCTTTTTGAACGTTTTGCGGCACATGCTGTTTAAAGAATAATGTAACAATTAGCCCATCTCTCTATTTTATTAGCAGGGGAGGGTGAGGAAAAAAAAACTTCAGCGTACGCTTCATTGCCCCTGGGACCTTGGTTTATGCCTCAAAATGTTTCTTAGCGGGTAGCAAGGCTCCTAGTAAACAAATGGATACTTGGTACCGATTCTTTCTTGGTTATAGATTATGAAATCATGCTTGTAGAATTACTTTCTCAATGTAAATCGTCGATTTCCTCTACTATTGCGGCAAAGACATGGTCACACAAGCAAATGCTGTGGTAGTTGCGATTGCAGCACCGCCGTTTCTGGCGCCACGGCAACTTTAGGGCTAACTGAAAGGAAAAGGGTATTGATGGGACACGTATTTCTTCGTAATTTAGGCAAACGAGATTAAGGTGGAGGCTACGGCCCGATCTAGGCTCCGACAAGGAGATCAGTGGCCGCCCGCCCATTCCCACTGGAGTGGCTTGGCTGCACGACCGAACACGCTCGCAAGCCTATGTGTCTCCCTGCCGCGACGTCTTGTATGCGTCCTGTGCGTCTTCTGGGGTTTGACACTACCTTCTAGTCGTGCCAGCGGACGCGTGGCAGCCTCCGGCGTCGTCTGCTATTCCACTACCATCTATCGTCGTCTGCAACGCAAGAAAGACGCGACCACAAAAACGGCGTTCTAGCGTTCCATCATGCACGAGCCACGGTCCAGTACAAGCACATGTCACCGTCTGTCGATGTGCGGTAAAAAGTGACCAAAAGGACTAAAATATCAACAAAATAAATATGCAGTCCTTTCAATTTTTTCTGTTCTTGATTCTTTTTTCCTTACGGAAATCGCGATTGAAGTCGTTGAGCGTCATGGCGGACAATTAAAACACGACCTAAAGATATTGGCCTTCGTAGGCAAAGTGCACTGCAAAACTTAAGAGCTAATTGCCTTTCGAAGCCAAAGGGCCGGAACATACCCGGACAAACTTGATGCGAGCCGAATTGTGAGCCAAATAGCTCGCAAATTCTTATCAGTGTAGGTATCTTCTCGGTATTAAAACCAGGGTTGCAATCACCACAGTTTCAACATTCACCGAGCAGCGGAGCCTTTTTTATGGGAACCAGTATCTTTATTCAGCATCAACACGCGCAAACGAACAAATCAAGTCATATCGAGCAACGTGTTGACGTGGGAGGCTGGGCTTCGGCCAGTCCCGCTATGCGAAAACAAGCACTTGCACAGCGCTTCCGAATGCGCGTATTTGCACCAGCTCTTTGCTGCAAACTGGATCGGTTGAGGAGATTTTCCTCTAACCACATCGGTGAACTTTAAACGACTCGCACTCATAAAAATTGACGAGCTCAACAGGGGTAGCTCGTAGAGCTCGCCAATTTTTACACGCACTGCCGGCTTAGTGAAACATGACTGCGCCGCCAGTCATATTTGTTATCGTTGAAAATCGAAGCGGAAGAGGCAATCTCGGATGTTTCTGAATACATTAATGGCTATCTATACAGCGTGGTCCAAATGATTGAACGCACTTTAAACTGACCGCATTAATCGGTTTCTTTATTTATTGCGAAGGGATTTACTACAGAGGTGCTCGCAGCTGGTACGTTCATTAATTGAGAGTAGGTATATATGAAAGCTCCAGAGTCAAAATAAAGATAATAAAAACTGGTTTTCTCCATGGAAAAATTTTCATTAGGCCTCTTGTCTCAAAATCACCAGAAAATCGTTGTGGGCTATTCTGGCATCTGCTACGATAGAAAAATGTATGAAATAGAAAGGAAATAAGATTGGCTAACCTATTTTTCACTTCATTTGGCCCGAATAAGCGCCACAGTGACCCATAATGTTTATATTGTACATGCAAAGTATAGAAAAACATAGTCCTTTTTTAATTTCATTGGTTTACTCAGGTAAGCCAATCTTTCCTCAATTTTAGCAAAAGCTTCTACCAACTTCAGGCACCTCTGTAGTAAATCCCAGCGCGATAAGCTAAGAAACCGATTTATGCGGTGAGTTTAAATTAGTTTCGATTCATTTTGACACGCTGTAGATTATTTGTTTCTCAAACATAAAAATACTTTTACGGCACGGAGAAACAATTTTACAACGAAAATTTCACACGTAAATCATCTCTCCAACCAATACGAGCCGAGAAACGGTGCTTAGCTGGCTAAGTACATTTCGTTATGGGCGGGGCCTAGAGCAGGGGTAACCCCGCCTAAATTGCGTCTAACGACGTAAATATTGGGTAAATATTTTCGTTAATGGTTAAATTAAAGAATAAAAAATATTTCCAATTTAAGCTTTTTTTTATTAATATTCTTTTTTTTTTCTTTTTTAAAAAGAAGTGTTGTTCTTTTTTAGTGAATTTCAGGGCAGAACTTTTGAGAGCATATATTCGCCGACATTATAACGTTCATTAAAGTTCTGGTCTTCGTCTCTGTGGTAGGTTTACATGAGTCGACAACTGAGATGGCACTACGACAGGTTAACGTGGACTGGAAAACCGGGCGAAGATACACTGCAGAAGTAGACTCGCCGCCGGGGACCCTCCGATGAGGGATGTCTAAGCTGACACTACTCGCAGGTTGCTTCGGAAGGACGTGGTCTTCTGGTCGTGCCAGTTCAACTACAGACCTTGCGTCAATCACTGTGTCAAAACGTTTAGAGCCTTCATGAACAACTCGATAAGTCTCAAAACGTAAGTTCCATTTTATGGGAGAGGAAGCAAACTACATAGTCAACTAGTGCCCTCATTAAAAAAACAGCGAGGTCCAAAATGCATTTAGATTAGAGTGTAACCATCATGTACTCCCCTCGTCTCTCCTAATTACTTTCTTCTCAGATTTTTGTCTCAGGACCTAACCATCACTATGGTAGTGCTCTGTCATGCAATCCGAATGGGAGACAATACGGACTGGCGCTTTCTTCTGGACCACTTGGGCGACGCTGACACGGCCGAACAGGGACACGTGATCATCAGCGCCCTCGGATGCTCCAAGGACGCCAAGAACTTGCAGAGGTATCTCCACGACCACAGCTAAATGCTCCGAAACTGCATATTGGCGGGGAGGTCGAACAAACAGGCGGCGCTTTGTCCAGCTTGTTTTTCCAGTCTTCGGTGTTTAGCCAACACAAGGCCTGTAAATTGGAATCTTGATGTCATCTTTCCACGATCGAGCGCGGGGCAGAGATTTGACACAAGTACCTCGTCATGCGCTTGGCTGGGGATCCCGTTCGGTTGGTGCTTCGCTGAATGAACACCGTCCCCAGTCGATCGCTCACACAGTGTTCGGCTATTTCAGTCAATCGGTGCGCCAGAAGCAGGAAAAAAGAATGTTGGTGTGGATGGAATGAACGTTTATTGAAATTCCCTGGCGGTTACGCTTTAGTAGGGCCATATATTTTATGTAATTGTTTTTCAGATGGGTTTAGTTCTCAACTAGCCGCCAATGGCGCGGCGGTCGGATGTCCTCCCCATAGGTGCTAGATTTAAGAGAGGGAGCAACTGGAACCATGGAGGGCGTTCGGAATTTAATGGCGAACACCTCCTGCGTAGACTGATTGCCTGCACGGCGAGGGAGGTAGCGGGCGGTGATGCGGGGCAACGACGGCAGACTCTTGCAGATAATCGACGCTTTCGTCTTCTCCTTGCACTTTGAACTTAAAGCGCGGCCAGACACCACGCGAAGTCAAACTGCGCATATGGGAGTCTTCTGTGGCAGCGCATGCGCAGTTTGTACCGGAGGGCTCATTGTACCGTATCGGACGTGCAACAACGATTCCCTAAAACTCTCTGGTGTATCTGCTTGGAAGCTACGATGCCTAGAGTGCGTCTCCGACCGACGTGTTTAGCGTCCTATTCTTCTCGTGAATCGAAAGTGGTCACGAAGGAGCACCAAATGACGTCACAAAAACCGGAGCGTCACGCTGTCAGATATCGCGATCCTGGCGTGTGGGAGTCGCTGTCGTCGCGGCGTCCCATTTCTGTATGCCGAAGCTTCCGTTGACTGTCAAGTGGGAGAGCAACCTGCAGAGGCGTCTGCCACATGCACCACCACTGCTGTAACACCGCTAGGATCGCGACCGCCGACATCATGACACTGTTATGACGTCATCAGGTGGCAATCAAGTCACCACTGCTTAGAAAGCGGTACACATATACCTGTCAAAGACGATTTCCAGGCAAAAACATCAATACTGACCGTTCTTTTTTGTGTTTTTTTGTTTTTGTTTTTAGTTATGGAATCGCGAGAGTGCAGAAATATTTTGGGGGTCAAGCTTCTCCACTCAGCGCGACGTGAACATTGTCGATGGTCTTGCATTTAATTTTTGTATCGTTCTATGCGCGGAGCCTCTTGTCGTTCACGGTGCGGAACGTGTCGACAATTAACAAGCACCTGAGTGACTCGGCGAGCTTCTTCTTCGAAAGCGCCACCTTCAGCCGCCAAGGAACCGAGTTGGCACTGGGCTTTCTCGTGGACAACTGGAAGTCTCTCCTTGCAAAGTGAGAATCTCCTGGTATGCTCGGTGTGTCGCAATAGTTACCGACGTCTTAAGAAACACAGGACGTCTCTTTTAAATAACCGGCTTCCTACGCGCGCTCGTTGCCCTCCACCGTGCTTTGACCGCGTGTGCACACTCGTGGCTCAGGAGACGCCTGAGCATTGTCGAAGGTAAGAAGCGTGCGTCCGAGCCTGTGCCACTAAATGGACCTCCCTGCCGTTCTAATCCTATCCGGGACTATCACGATACAAATTTCAGACAAAAGAAAAATATATATATATATTTAAATGGCTCGGCAAGTTGAAGGGTGCCAGAACCTCTGATTGGACTTTTGTAAACGCGGGATAGTTCAAGACGGAATCTGTATGTACGTTTTGATCGGAGACAATGAACCTAAAGCTTGATTTAACAAATTTAGGGGCAAGGATGCTTTGTTTCGAAGGAAAGGGGAGTTGGAGGGAGAGGGGTCGGGTCGAAGAGAAACGGGGATGTTGTATTTAGAGGGAGTCAATGATAGTTTACGGTTTTACATTGCATATTCGTTACGTTTTTATCGATTGTCTGAGCCCTGGTACAGGGGGGTAAATATATTTTGTGGCGATATGTTGCAAAAAAAGAAAAAGACAAAACAAATAGGAAACATTTCTAAAACCCAAGACGGAAACTATAGAGGGGTCAAGCATAATGCCGTCTCATGCTTAACTTTAACCAGCTGTTTTACTTTTGTTTTTGTTGTTTTCCGTTAACAGATAGCCTGCCTTATTACGTTATCTTCAAACTACTACGAACATTTTTTTATGTATGTGTTTAATTGTTTGCAGGAGTGTAATATATGGACTCTATGAAGCGTCCGTTATGAGTTCGTGTCATTTCAATGTAACTGAACCGGAAGGTTCTCATTTCCACTTTTTCTAAATTAAATTTAGCGTGCATTTTCAGTCTTACCCCTTTCACGTATCTCACTTTGTGCCAAAAAACAAACAAAAAAATTATTGTTGCTTTTTGTGTGTGTGTGTGTGTGTGTGTTTCGGGTGAAACAAACCAAAGCTTTTTAAGCTTCTCGTGTTATACTTTGTATCTACACACTTTCAAGGAGGAAATATTTCCGTAATAAACGACAGGGTCTGACCTATGTGCCTCATGTCATGGCCTATCTGGGGATATGGCGCGTTCTAGTGAAGTTAATCTCCTTTTGCCCGCTTGTACCAGGTACGGTCAAGGTCCATCTTTGAGGGACACGGTCTGGTACACGCTGCAGTCCATTCGTAGTTCCGACAGCCTGAACAGGGTAAGCCCAATTATTTTTTGAACCAAACGCTTCACAGATCAATACAAAAAACATTACCTGCCTTTTCTCTCTCTTTTTTTTTTTTGTCTTCTCCCGAGCGTATCTCTATAGCGTGCTTTATTTATTTATACTCTATATGCCTAAACAAACATTTTGCTTTTAATTTAGTTTTTCATTACTAAAAAAAAAAAATCTTAGAGGTTTTAGCGTGTTGCAGGCGATGTTTCAGCTTAGAAGCTTAGAAGACGATATAGTATCCAAGAAAATATACGTAAATGAAGGATTCTTGGCCGAGCGTGTTATTAACACAGCGTGGTTCTGAGCACGTGGATTGAAAGCTGGTGCTGCAGAACCCGGGGATTCTGGCCTATTCTGGGCTCGAAACCCACCCTGACCGTTTTAGTCTGGATGAGAATCGTACCGACCCCGTGCGGTCGGGTATCAATAGTGCGCGACGCACATTAAAGACCCCCCAGATAGAAGTGGTACCGCACCGACCAAATTTTTCGTTTAAAGCAGAGGCACCCGATGCTCACAGAAAGGGGAAAGGGGGGGGGGGATGGAATTTCCGCCGACTAAACATTGACACAACACAATTACTGTCTCGGGTCTTTGGTCTCGCCCAGATGGAGCACTTCTACGCGGAAAAAGTGAAGACCAAGAAGAACGCCAGAAAGCTTGCGCCAACCTTCCAGAGCGCCCTGGAACTGGCGCGGACCAACATGAATTGGGTCGCCAAGAACGGCCGGACCATCGAGAAGTGGATCGACGGACGACTCGTGGACGGCGCCGCACCCGGCGCCTGAGTTACCTGACAACAACAACGTACAGCTTCGCAATATTTTTTTTTTTTTTTTTACAGTCTTAAGCACGGAAACGCCGTCCGCTCGGGCGATCAGCGCCGAATCACGGAGCGCTGCGGAGTTGTCGGGGAGAGTGAACGAGTGGCGCGCACGCCACCTTCTAGATAAGAAAGCCTTAGCGCTCAATTTTCCTTCGTTACTTCAGAAGCCTATTTTACGGTGTACAGAGTAGGCACGAGTGCCATGTCAGCATTCCTCTGCGATTCCTGTTCAATTAATGATAAGAGGAATTTCGGCCGAAATGCTGATGCAGCTGTCGCGTCCAGTGCCATGGCGGAGTTCTTTAGGGACGCAGGAGAATTCAGCACTAATGCTACCTTGTCTATACGACGTGTTGGTGCGCATAGAGTGGCAATCACTCTCGCTGGTGACGCCGCAGCACTCCGTGACACGACGCTGATCGGTCCGCCGGTCAACGCTCACGCGATATTGTTTTTTTTTCTTTATTGCGATATTGTTTTTAAAAAAACAAAATTGCGGAGCTGCACGTATTTAGCGGTGCTTTTACGGAAAAAAAAGAAGTGCCCACGAAGCCGGCATATGCGGCATTTGAGTTTAAGAGGAAAGATGGGTTCCTGCGAAGACGACGGTTTGGTTCGCTTTGCTCGCGTCCTGCAGGTTGATAAGATATGCCATCCGCAAAATTAAATTGAATGTTTGAATTTTTCGTAAGTCGGTGACGTTTTAACTATCTTCCCGTGAATTTAGATCGCTTATCGGATGTGGGAGAGTTCCCTTCTGACACCTCTGCGTAGGGGTCATGTATAACTATAACTATAGTACCCACAGAGGAGGGATTTTCGTTAGGCACTTGCTTGTACTTCGCGTGAGTTTCTTGTACAATTTAGAAAATTACACTGAATTCTTCATCCCTAAAATACCGGTAAATGTGCATAAACGTTTTTTTGTTTCTATTCAAAATATTTGTACTTTGTACAAATATTTAGATGTGCTCAGTTCGTAAAACCAATTTCTCCAATTCCTCCCCGTCTGCGACTTCATTGTTGACACCATAAAAAGAAGCATGACTTTTGTCACAGTCGGTGAATTTGAAGCCCATGGAGAGTTCTCAACTAAAATATTTTAAATGTCTATTGAGAATATTTCTTGAATTTTCACATAAAAACTTAGAAACGCTACGTTGTGCATATGAGTGTGACCTTCATGTTGTGAAAATAACTTGTTTGTATCGGTTTCAGTGCGCATGTTTTTTGTGCACCTGTGCGAATACTCATGATTTCGTACACCTGTGTACGATTCCTCATGTTTTCGTACAAATGTATACAAAGGTAAAGTTTCGGCAGCTTTCGGCCTGGTCAAAAAGCGCCGTAAACAGCCGTTAATAACCTTAATCATAAATCTAATAAACAAAATCCCGTCATTTCGGCCACACAACTGACTTCGGCATCACCCTCGCGCTGGCCTCGCAGAAGATTTGGAGGAAATATCTTTTCGGGAGTCAAGTCGTTCATTCAAAGCGCAAAAGGGAAATGAACCTCTCTTCGGGTACTTTTCCCAGCAACTATGCGTCAAGGCTGCGTAAAGTCACCAAAGCTCCGTACATCTGTGTCTATATAAACGAGGCGGGTCCTTGCCGGGACTTAAGCGTAAACCGACCTGGTTCTTATTTGTGACTGTGCAGGGTTAAAGCTCTTCATTGCCGTCAATGTGTTTGCGAAAACATGTGAGACATATTTTGTAAAGTTGGATACATCTAATTTATGTGGGGTGCGGCAGCAAATACCATAACATGCAGGCGACATCGCTTTGCGCGGAAACCGGCAAACGATAAAATGAGGTTTGCACGAAGCGTTTCGGATTTCAGGAGCTGGAAGAAATATTTGCGAAAATTCTGCATTCAAAATATCTTTTCGCGATATTGCTGAACTGGATGAAGAATGAGAGCGCAGGGCAAATCGCAAACGCAGTTAAGCACAGATACAGACCCACCGAAAAAAAAAAAAACTATAACTTTTCGCTAACTGGAATATGGAACTGGAAATCTAGCTTGATTTCAGGTTTACAGCTGGAAATTCAGTTAGATTTCCAGTTTCATAATCCGGTTAGCGAAAAGTTGGACACAGAAGTAGTACATGAGCTGTCTTCAGGATCACCACAAGTTGGGCATCCGGGATCTTTTTGTGGCGGTACATATGAAGACGCTTTGCGGTATGCAAGCAGCCGGCTTAAAGGGGCGGTGCAACGATATTCAATTGCAATTTTTTTTTCACTTTACACGACCTTACTGGCACAAGTGGGACTCAAGGATACTCACACGCAACGCTACTGACCAAGAAACTTCGTTGTTGCGGTGTAATTTCAAGGACAAAAACAATTATTTTCGTTCAATCTCTCCTTTGCAAAATGTGATGACGTAACGTGGGGATCGCTCTACACCCCAATGACGATATTTGAATTCGGTTCATAGGTTGAACCTGAGCATTGCGTGGGCACTCGATTTGGGCTCATGATAATTACTAGCTCGAGAAGCATTCGGGTAGTGGCCCGTGTCCAATCGCTGCAACGACGACAACAGCTGAGCCCTAACAATGCGTGGAACTCAGAGCGTGTCCTGTGCTTTGCCAACCCCAGCGCGTGGCTATGATCAACACTGGCGGCATATAATCGGCTCCAGATCACGTGGCCGCTTATTCTGGCTTCGAGTTGAGGGGATGAACGCCGCTCGTTTTTCTTCAATTTTTTTTCGGGCACTTCTATTGCGTAGGGTGAAAAACGAACGCGTGTTTTATAGGTCGTTAACGTCAGGGATCTGTTCTTAACCGTATTTGCGCAAAGAACAAAAATTGTTGCGTCGCCCCTTTAAAGTCTGTGAAGGAGTAATTAAGGTCTCTGAACGTAGCGGCGAGCCAAAGTAGGACGGTCTCCATGTAGCTACTGCGAGTTGGCGCTGCAAGATGGCGCCACCGGCCCTTGCACGACTCGACTGGACCGATACGTGCAGCATGGCCTCCGGAATTTTTCTCACAATGGCTTCACTCCTCAGGCCATTGTATTCGCGCGGTAGAGACTGTTACTGCTGGGCCCTTGGTGGCGCTCACAACAAAGCCAAACAACAAAGAAATATCCACGAATTATCATCCTCACCATTATCGCCGGTCTACGGAACTTAGGAGCAGCTCGAAATGTGCTACCCTCCGTAACACACAGCCCTTTTGACAAGGAAGAAGTTGATCGAAATTGGAAGGTTCATCTTTTCCAAGCGCGAAAGGTGTCGAACAAATGCCCACGATGTTGTTTGCAAAAAAAACTGCGCGTCCAATCCTTTCAGTAAAAAACAGGAAGGCGAGTCAATTAAAATAAACAAAGGCGAGTCAAAATGCGGATAGTAATAGTCATAGTGATTTATTTCTGTTCAGGAGACCCGCGACGCCGCAGAAAGGCAAGTCCCCCATACCGTGAAGGCGAAGTGCCGAGTTTAACGATGATGAAAAGGTATTGCAAATGTACATTTCCAAAAAGAAATTGTGATGATGGATTAAATGGAGCTTCTGGGAGAGGGTGAGGGGTAACTTGATGTTACGGTTGAAGAGGGTGAAGAGCGTTAGGCTTGCAGTGGTTTTCGTGGCGGTGGTCTTTGTGGGGCCGCAATGGGCTGCTGACGTTTAGCAGGCCGGTCTCGAACGCCTGGCGAGGGCTCCTTGCATGCCCGGCATGCAGACAAGATGCCTGAATTTCCGGCGATGCAGGGAGTGCAGCACCCCCATGATGGGGCTCCAGGGGCCCTATGTTGCGCTTTTTGGACTCCCACGGCGACTATGGAGAAGAAAGTGACGTCAACAACGCAGCAAACGCAGATTGGATGTTGATTGGTGAGAGTCACTGATGACGAATTTGAGCAAAAAAAACAAAAAAACAAAGCTCACTTTTTTGTTGCAATAGTTGTCATTAACGACTCACCAATCAACATTCAATCTGCGTTTGCTGCGTTCTTGACGTAACTTCCCTCTCCCTATTTGTCGCGGGAGTCCAAAAAGCGCAACATAGGCCCCCAGGGGTTGGCGCCGGTGTTTGTCGGGCCGCGGTCTTCCCGAAAACGGGTTTTAAACTCTCCCAGCTTGCGGTCGAGCTTGGAATCGAGCAGCGTAACCACCCTGTCGATCGAAGACATGGTGTGTGCCACTGGTACGGCTGGCTCCCTGACGACGGGAAAAACACATCTTACGCCCAGATGTCTTTTTAACGCGAAAGCATTAACTGGTCCCATGGAGCGAGCTGACGTCATCAGTTTGAAGCGCAAAAACGGACCCCAGTTTCCCCGATCCCAAAAGAGCGAAGTAAAGCTGATGGATTTCGCCTTCGGTTCCATTGGCTGGCGCGCGTCGACGGGGCTCCCATTGGCGGCTGCGCTCGTCAGTTTCCACGACAGCTCACCCCATGGCGCCGCATGTCCATCAGCGCGCCGTTAACACGAAGCGTCCAAGGTCAACGTGTCCGGGGGAGCACGCGCGCTGACCGGAGACGAAAAGTACGCAGCAGACGAAAAAGGGAGCGGACGAGCGGCTTGCATGATTTTGCATTCACAACTCATAAGTGCTTAGCTGTACCTGTTTTTTTTTTGTCTTTTCTTCATATTCCATTCTGAGGTATCATCCAGCGAAGCTGTGCAAAGACCGGAGCAGCGAACAAAAATTAGGAACCAACAGAGATTGATTCACCTTTATTTTGATGATGGCAACAATAAATATGGAAGCTTCATGCCGCGGGCTCAGATTTGACAGAGTGCTTTGAGGCGATTATGTTTCCGTATCTGTTTTGGTTCTAAGCGCCGCGTACGAAGATCTAGAGCACGACCTACTGTAATCCTGACCTGCTCACAGAATGGCTCCTTATGAAAGGCGTTGTCGCCGGTGAAGTCTGTCGCTTTACTGTTGGTGGCGTCGGTAAAGGATTTGCTGCTAAAGCATTTACGGATGGCGGTGGAGCATCCGCTCGTGACACGTGTCTTGCGCAATCCACGAGCGGGTGCTCCGCTTGTGGAACGCGCAATGGTTTGCGGCAGTTGTAAGCGTGCATTTTATCAAGGGACTTTACTTTTGAGAGACCCAGACGCGGTTCACAACCTGTCTCGCGCACGCGGTCCGCACGACGCGTGGCTGGTTATATCTGTTTGTCGGGAACACCTAACATAACGTTCCAAAAAAATTGGGTT